AGGAAGTAACGCTCGTGACCCTGTCCACGGACGCGGGCTGGGCCCCACACGTCCATGTGAAGAGTCTGCAGAGGAGCCTCAGTCGGAGGAAACGAGGAGGAGTGAGGGGCGGCACGCTGTCTGCCCTTGACACACGGAACACAGGTGGGGGCAGGCCCCGGAGGAAGGGGAGGGAGGGACCTGGGGAGACCAGAGACAAGGGCACGGGAGGCCATACCTCGAAGACGAGGCAGGGAGGGGTGACCAAGGCGGTGGTGCCAAAGGAGAGTCTCGTGTGCCAGAGGACGACACGAGCAGGGGGCAGACGCAGGACTAGACCTGGACGCGGCAGCAAACACCTGACTGGACGCAGCTACCTGACCAGACGCAGAGACCGGAGGAGGCGCAGTAGTCAGTGTGTACAGACTCGACCCTGGCCGACGGGTAAACGTGGCCAGGTGGCGGCCCGTCCGAGAGCAAGTGCAGTGGGTCACACGCTGACCTCCAGGGGTGAACTGGTCAACCCACGAGTCCTGGAGGTCAGCTCCACTCACCAGGTTTGTAGAGAACGAGGGGAGGTGGAGTCCCGAAAGCAAGCCCGACGGGGCTGCAGGACACGGTAGGACAGTGGAGGAGTGTGCAAGTACTGGGCCCCCTGAGGGGTCAGCAAGGGAGACCGCAACAGGCCGACTGAGCGGCGTGAGCGTGGTGCTGTCTCTAAAGAAAGAGCGCGAAGCACCAGAGTCAAGTGTGAAAGTGTGAAAAGACGCAGTAGGTATATACCAGAGAGAGGAGACGTACCAGCACCTGGAGCAGCAGACGCACTAGCACCTAGAGCGGCAGCCGCACAAGCACCTGGAGCAACAGACGCACTAGCACCTAGAGCAGCAGCCACAGTGCCCGGGTCGGGCGGGACACTCAGGTAACAGTCACCCTCAGTAATATCAGCAAGAGCATACATGGCAGCAAGGATAGCATCAAAGTCTAGATCAAAGATAGGCACATTCTGCAGAAGCAGATCATGCCAAAGAGGAAGCTCAACAGCGTCAGGAAACTGGGTACGCCAGGCGTCAGTCAATCGGCCAAAGCAGCGCTGCGTGGTGTGTGGGAGACCACACACCTCCCCACTACGAGTGCCGGTGCGAAGAACGTACGTGCAGGGACCTGCACCCCCAGACCTCCCACGCCCAGCGTACCACTCACGAAGCTGCTGAACAGACGGGGTCTCACGGGTGCGCAGCTGCTGCTGACGCTGGCTGCCACCAAGGCCTCCACGCTGCGTGGCCGCACCGCGACCAGCACCACCTCCTCCGCTACCTCCACCACCGCTGCCGCCGCCGCCACCTCCTCCGCCACCGCCGCCACGGCCTCCACTGCCGCCACCGACGCCCCCACTCCCGGAACCACCCCCACCACCACCTCCACCTCCTCCACCTCCTCCACCGCTGCCTCCACCGCCCCCTCCACCACCCCTGCTTCCCTTGCCCTTGCCAGTGCGGCGTCGCCCACTAGGGGCAGTAGACGCAGCGCCGACCTCCTCAGTGCCAACGAGGTCGAAAGCAGCAGCAGAGGCAACAGAGGGGAGAAGGGGGACAGGGGAAGACCCCTCAAAGAAGGGGGTGCGACGGTCGCCGCGAGAAGCACCGACAGCTAAGATACTCTTCTCAGCTGCAGCAAGGCGCTCCTCTAGCAAGTCGACAGTCAGCTCGGTGGGGCAAAGGGAGAGGAAGTGATCCTTGACTAAGGAGAGAGAATCAGGGAGGCGGGTGACTGGGTAGTAAAGGGTGATGTACATGGGGGGGGAGTTCGTAGGAAGAAACTCAGTGGGAAGGGCAGCGCGGTAGCGAGCGTCACTAGTGCGGAGGTGAGCAACTAGGTCAGCAACTGTGGCAAAGGCGGCAAGGTCAGGAAAAAGGTACGGCAGCATGAGGCGGCTGAGGGCAGCAGTGGTAGGGGAGGAGTAGCGTGCAACTACAGCGTCGTACAGAGCCCTAGCACTCTTGTACTGACTAAAGTGCGCGCGCTCAGTAGACGGCAGGTGATTACGCACAGCAAGACGAGCAGCAGCATCGCGCGTGAGCCACTGCGAGCGAACAGTACTGTCAGCATCAGCAGCAGGGGCAGTAGAGGCGCCAGACGTGAGATCGAACAGTGAGAGGCCATCCTTGCTATCGCACTGTAGGAAAAGCTGCAGATCATCTAGCCAGACCTCAAAGTCAACAGCCCGACCCTCAGCATCAAAGGTAAGAACATTGAGACTAGCCATGACAGGAGCAGCAGCAGGCTAGCAGCAGCAGCAGTGCAACTCGGCAGGGCAGGCTAGGCAGGGCGGCGCGGCTCGGCAGGGCGGCGCGGCTCGGCAGCGCGGCGCTCTTACCAGTGGCGAGGCCGGGGCAGGGCCGGGGTAGGGCCGGGGCCGGGCCGCAAAAGATTCGGGGCCGGGTTGGGCAGGGCCGCGACAGTGCAGGAGCAGGGCAGGGGCAGGGCCGGGGCAGAGCCGGGGCAGGGCCGGGGCAGGGCCGGGGCAGGGTCGGAGCAGGGCCGGGGCAGGGGGCAGGGCCGGGGCAGGGCCGGGGCAGGGCCGGGGCAGGGCCGGGGCAGGGCCGGGGCAGGGTCGGAGCAGGGCCGGGGCAGGGGGCAGGGCCGGGGCAGGGCCGGGGCAGGGCCGGGGCAGGGCCGGGGCAGGGTCGGAGCAGGGCCGGGACAGGGCCGGGGCGAGGCCGCGACAGGTCCGGGGCAGGGCCGGGGCCGGGCCGCGGCAGTGCAGGAGCAGGGCCGGGGCAGGGCCGAGACAGGGTCGGGGCGAGGGCCGGGGCAGGGCTGCAACAGTGCCGGAGCAGGGCCGGGGCAGAGCTGCGACAGGGCCGCAGCAGGGCCGGCGCAGGGCCGCGACACGTTGGGGTAGGGCCGGGGCAGGGCCGGACGGGGCCTTACGGGGCCTGACGGGGCCTGACGGGGCCGCTAACGGGGCCTGACGGGGCCGTACGGGGCCTCTAACGGGGCCTGACTGGGCCTTACGGGGCCTGACGGGGCCGCAAACGGGGCCTTACGGGGCCTTAAACGGGGCCGTAAACGGGGCCTTACGGGGCCTTACGGGGCCTTACGGGGCCTTACGGGGCCGTACGGGGCCTTAAACGGGGCCGTAAACGGGGCCTTACGGGGCCTTAAACGGGGCCGTAAACGGGGCCTTACGGGGCCTTACGGGGCCTTAAACGGGGCCGTAAACGGGGCCTTACGGGGCCTTAAACGGGGCCGTAAACGGGGCCTTACGGGGCCGGCGCTGGCTCTAAGGGCAGGCGCAGGGGCCGCTACGGGCCTCGAAGGGCAGGCGCGACGCGCGCGTCGAGCAGGTAAGAAAAATTTCAGTGGTGGGCCCTTTTTAAAAAAACTCGAAACTAGCTCTATACCATGTGAGATAATTGACGAAAGAATGGATCAACTAGAAATTGAGATGGGTACAAGTAGAAAACATAAGTGTTGTACCCTCTAAGAGCTACCCCACTACAGCCTAAATAGACTATAGCAGATATAAGTTTGACAGACGGGCGGTGTGCTGCTGAAAGCCCGTCTAGCATTAACAGCGGGCCATGAAACAGGAGTAACATCATGGCAATTCGGGGAAGGTGCCCTAGGAACGCGAGTCGGCGAAGACGAGCCTAACACGGCGGCAGGATGGGAGCGGTTTAGGAAATCTAGGCCCGTGACTAGTGGATTGGGCCGTGGGGTGGGTGATTCAGGAGCTTCTGCGTCGTCCGCCATGGCGAGAAGGCGGACTGACGTGAAAGGGGAGAGAATTAGTGTAATGGCGGTGAAAGTGGCTGGGTGGGGCGTTTGTAAGAGAGCAAGGGAGAAGAAGGACCCCCCGAAACCCCAACGCCCGACCGCACATCCCAGTTGACGAAGCGCGCATGGCTCCCGAAAACTGTGGGTGGCACCACTAGACTGTGGGTTTGTGGTGCTGGATTGATGACTGTTGTACAAAACTAACCAATCCCTCACTTGTGACAGGCCACGTACGACAGAAACGGTCCTGCGTGGGCAAGTCGTGACGCAGACATCACGTGAGGTTAGCATAGAACCTAACTGTTTGCCTGTTGCAGCAGCATTTTGTTGATGTGGTGGCAAAAGATACACGTGGGAGCACGGGCCGCGAAATGTATGATGCATACATTCCGGTATTCAAGGGGAAACACCCACACCACGCCTTGTTCACGCGTGAATCACGCCCAAGGGTAGAAAGATCCGGTAACAGACGAAACCGGAAAGTGTTCCTGATGAATCAGAGGAACATGGAAAACGTATCTGATGGATCAGATACAGAGGAAAAGCATTTCTGAAAGAACAGATTTCACTAAGTGCTAATTTCTGAATCATCAGATTAAATAAAAAAATAGCCTCCAAATATAGGACAAACATACCAAAAATTTCTGCTAGCGACAACCCTGTTTTCCAGCCTCCTAACTCAGATCACTTTTCCATCGGTTTGCAACAAATTTGTGTATGATCACTGAACACGGCTCTCCTTCTGTCTGTAGAACGAATTTCAGAAGTTTCATACTCGCAGTTAGTGTTAGGACATCGATATTGACTGCCTGCCCGGCCTAATCTCCTTGACTGATTGCGAATGATTCGACTCTAGACACGCTGATTTGCTTCACGAAACCCCAGCTGGCGGCATGGATTCGACAATGCTACTGCTGTTCGCTTACGTGGCTTTGCTGGGTTTTCTTCTATTCGTCCTTCTGTTTGGGGAATCGACCTCGTTCGATGGCACCGTTATAAGCTCCTCATTACTGGATCACACCAGGGATCTTCGAAGTTCCATTGTAGATTACTTTCCTTCGTGTACGATCACCTGTTGTTAAACATTAAATTGGAGAAAGCGTGCCAATGCATAACAATCCTGCATATGTAAGACGTCATCTTCCAATTCTGCTGCGAGTAGCGAAACCCTCTTTTCCAGGTCTGTATTTTGCTAGAATCTCCCTCTCTCTCGCTCCCACGGCTGCCACATCTACCGTATGGGTTTCATTCCCAGACTGTACCTCTCCGCCATCCACAGGTACTCCGCCCCCCTCTCTTCTCTCCTCTCCGCCATCCACAGGTACTCCGTCCCCCTCTCTTCTCTCCTCTCCGCCATCCACAGGTACTCCACCCCCCTCTCTTCTCTCCTCTCCGCCATCCACAGGTACTCCTCTCTCTCCTCTCCTCTCCCCCCCTCTCATGGGCTTTAACGTCTCAGACACTATGCTATGCCTTTCACGTCTACTGCATGGGTTTCATCCCCGGACTGTACCTCTCTTCCATCCACAGGTATTCCTCTCTCTTCTCTTCTCTCCCCCCTTCTCATGGGCTTTAACGTCTCATACACTACGCCTTTCACGTCTACTGCATGGGTTTCATCCCTGGCCGGACTGTACCTCTCCGCCGTACACAGGTACACGCCTCCTGCATCGTGCTTCCCTCCCCTAGCCTCTTGCCACCCACCTCCTCCCACCTCGTCCCACCTCCTCCCACCCTAAACCCGAAATCCCGGTACATGGCAATTGCATCGTGCATCCCTTCTCACACCACCTTCCACCTGCAACCCTCCCTCCCCACCCACCTCCCCATCTCTGATGTTCATGCTGCACCTGCACCTGCTGCATCCCTCGTTGCAGCTCCCACAACCCGCTGTTCTCAAACCCCTCCGCTGCTCTCCTCTTCATCAATCCCCTCCCCTCTCCACTCCACCTCCGCGCTCCCTCGTTTTCCCCCTCTCCACCTTCGCAGGTACACGGCGCCTGCATCCCTCATTGCAGTTCACACAACCTTTCTTATAGCGAGTATATCCGACCCCGGTACAGTCATACCCGTTACAGTGCAGCAGACCCAGGCAGTGTACCCATACGATGGAGTCATCTACACCAGACGAGTCTGCTCCTCCTGCAAGATACCCATGTATTTGAAAAGTAACTGGCCCACTAATGAGTGCTAGTTTAGCCTGTTGACTTTTGAGTCGACTCAAAAGTTATCTACACCAAACGCATCTGCTCCTCCTGCAAAATACCCAGGTATTTGGAAGGTAACTGGCCCATTATTCAATCGTTGGTAGTTGCTCTAGCCTGTCTGAGTCTCAGACTATGAGAAAATTACAAAAACGAGCGAGTAACGCCCTTTCGCCTAATGAAGGAATGAGTAGATCGCTGCAAGCAAGCTTGGCATGACCAATCAATCACAATGGCGACAAGGCAGTAACGTTCTTTCTGAGCTGGAAAAGGGTTTTCTTTTACTACTCTGAAAAAAGACGCTGCTTCTTGATCGACGTTCGCGTTAGGCTTGGGAGTTGGAGATGGGAAGAAAATAATGTTCCCATTCTGGACATGCGCTTTTCTTCCCATCTCCAACTGCCTTCTCCCTTCTTCTTCATCCCTCATCTGTCTCCTTCTGACCAGTTCCAGCCAACGTTTCTTCCTTCTCGCTTGTTCCCCCCACCCTCTCACTTACTGCCTCTCCTTCTCCCCTCGTCTTTCCCTCTCAGGCCAGCACGAGCCAAGCACTACAGGGTGTGCAAGCGGTGCATTTCCAGATTCGACCACTAATGCGCATGGAATTGAAGAAGTGTTTTGAGACGTCTCAAAACAATGCGCATGGATGGTGAGTGATACTGCTGGGTGGTGGGTGATGCTGTTGGGTGCTGAGTAATTCTGCTGTGCTAGGTGGTGATTTGTACACTTGAGTGCTGAGTGGTGACTCCTGCAGTCTGGCGCTTAAATGGTGCTGCTGGCTGGGTGGTGAGTGGGACAGTTGGTTCCTAGCAAAAGCGAACAGTCTATGTCACTTCATCTTCTGGAACTGATGTATGTCTGTTGGACTCTTCACCATCCTTTCTACTCTTCGCTTCTTCCTGATGGGCATCCCTCGTCGTCTCTCAGGCCAGGCGGAATTCAAGATTTGGATCTCTTTTTTCCCCCCAACCCCCACCCCAAACCCCACTCACTCTCGCAGAACACCTGTGCGGGGGAGAAGAACCTTCGCTTCTTCCTGCTGAGCACCCGCCATTGTCCCTTGCCTTTTGATACCATCTCACCCCCTTGCTAACCCCCTCATCTCTCCCATTTCTTTTCAGAACAACTGTGTTGGAGAGAACAACCTCCGCTTCTTCCTGCTCTTCCTCTTTGCGTGAGTGTGGCGATTGGTGTGGGGAAGGAAGTGGTTGGGGAAGGGGGAGCGGGGAGGGAGTGGGGAGGGGAGTGGGAAGGGGAGTGAGCACTGAAGTGGGGAGTAACGAGGGGATGGGAGTGTCACATGTGCGCTCAGAAAAGCTGTGTGTGGTGTGTTTAGCGTGTGCTGGTGTTTCTTTTGAGAATTCTCAAAAGTAACACCAACATGGGGAGGAACGAGGGGATGGGCTGTGTCTTCCACTCCCTCCTCCTGCCCACACATCACCCCTATTCTTCCTCTTTGTTCCCTTCAGAAACAATTGCTTTCTAGCGTACGGTGTGTTTGGCGATTTTTGAGTCGACTCAAAAATCGCCTCTTTTGAGTCGACTCAAAAAACAATTGCTTTCTAGCGTACGGTGTGTTTGGCGTCTGTTCCATCCTGGCTGTCCTTCCCTCATCTCCCCTGCCTCTCTACCTCATCCCCTTCCTCCCTCTCCCTCTCCTTTCCTCTTCCCTTCAGAAACATTTGCTTTCTGGCGTATGGTGTGTTTGGCGTTTGCTCTATCCTGGCTGGCGAAATCACACGCAGCAAAGTCATTGCTTCTTCCACCCCCTCCTCCTGCCCACACATCACCCCTATACTTCATCTTTCTCCCCTCAGAAACATCTGCTTTCTGGCGTACGGGGTGTTTGGTGTGTTTGGTGTGTGCTTTATCCTGGCTGGCGAAATAACACGCAGCAAAGTCGCTGCTGCTATCATAGGCACGCCAGGCCATGCCATGCTGTCGAAACCTCAGGTGAGCATATAGCCAACTCAAAAGGCTGGAGAGATCACACGCAGAAAAGTCGTTGCTGCTATCATAGGTACGCCATGCCATGCTGTCCCGTAGAGTTTTTTTTAGAATTCATCACTCCGTCCTGCTCTTCCTCTTCCTAGCCATCCTCTGTCACCTCTAACTCCCTTCCCCTCCCTTGCTCCTCTCCCACTCACTCCCTCCTCCCTCCTCCCTCCTCCCTCCTCCCTCCTCCCTCCTCCCTCCTCCCTCCTCCCTCCTCCCTCCTCCCTCCTCCCTCCTCCCTCCTCCCTCCTCCCTCAGAGGAGAGCAACCTAGTTAGAGTTGGCTGGATACATGCTAGATGAATACATATCATAATATGATTTAGAAACACAAACAAATGTAAACACTTATTCCTAACTACAGCTCACAATGAATTCAGGCGCTTATTGGGCCGTTTGTCGTACACTACCGTACCACGGACACCCTAACAACTCTTTCTTTGGCGAAGCTTGTGCTTCAAAGCAGGGGCTAGGGCTTGGTGGTCCAGCATTTGACCTAGATAACTCCACTCCACGCATTTCTTATACCTCCTCCTGCTTGTTCCCTTCGCGTTTCCGCATTTCTTCTCGTCGCCACCTTCACAAAGGCTTCCCGAATCGCAGCCCATCATTGCATCGCCTATGGTCCGGTAGTACCGCCGGTAGTTCCGCCGGTTGTACCGCCGGTAGTTCCGCCGGTTGTACCTCCGGTATCACCGCCAGTAGTACTACGGGGGATCGTCTGCATGACGCACGTGCCGGTGTCCAGGTCCCAGTTCTGCTGCACCATATACTTCGTTCCGTTAAGCCCCACGAGGTTATACTTAAAATCATTACCTTTCGCGTCCTGAGTGATTAAATGATCTCCGAACTTGTAGGCGCACTTATCGGCGTTTTCTTGAACGTCAACGTCGAACCAGCCCGTGGTGGTATCGGGATCCGACGCAGCTTCTGCGACCTCGTGCGCGATCGAGGATACCATCGCGTCGATCGGGGGGTTTCCGTTGGGCGAATAATGATGCACCGCGCATTTATCCGGGCATTGCGCATGATGACCCACGATGGCATATACGACAGGTTTGAACGTGTTGTTCAATTTGATGTAGTTCAAAGAGTGCCACCCGCAGTAATCCACGCAGAAACCTTCGATTTTGATGTCCTTGCTGGGCAGAATCAGGTATATGCCATAGGGGTCGTAAGGGAACGGCTTCTTGGGGCCAATCTTGGTTTTGACAGCTGTGCACAGTTAGAAATACAAGCGCAAATTAGTACAGTGACAACTCTTCGAGTGTCATTTGAATTGGGGACGAAAGGTTAGTGAGATTTAGGAGGCAGAACAAGCGGGGGCATGTGCTACTAACGAAAGGAAAGCACCGTGTTAGGAAGCACACACCATTGAAGACAGTGGCGGTCTTCCATTTCTTCCCCACAGACCCTTTGTCTGTGGTTGCCTTCACGAATCTCACCTGGGAAAGGCAGGGGGGGTGGGGGGGAGTTCAAGCTGTTTTCTTTAGGAAAAAAAATCATAATAAACCGCGGCAAATATTTATGCATTTCCCAGAAAGAAAGTTCTTTTCTCGCAACACCAGCACGAGTCGTGGTTCGCAATTGCTGTTTGTTAATTTTGTTATCTTTTGAGTTTCTTTTTTAGCGAAACCGTCGTTTTCAACCCTCGAAACACTCCGAGCCTTTGCTTGCTCGATGCGCGGAAACGCGCCACTCTGGCCCTGAAAGCACAACTTTACTAGCTGCAATTTCACACATGCCCATAGCAGCTTCAAATATTGAAAAGTTTCTACAAATATTGGAAAAACAATGACATACCTCCTGGCTGACGGTGCCGTTAATGCTGCCGTCATCTGCCTGCGAGTAGTATTTTGAGTTGGTCGCCCACCAGTAGGCTACTTTCGGATCCCCGGCAACACCCTGCGAGTCGGCGCCTGACAGACTCAGCGCCGTAATAAATTTTTCGATTATAGGCTGTCCGGATTTCTTCGGTGTCCATGCGCCATAGTAGATTATGTATATATTCAACGTCGGGCCGCTCATCACGGGACCATTGTGGTATGCGATGGGAGCGGGGATGGGGTCCTCGAGTCCCTGTTTGCGCCTGTTGTCCAATATGGTCTTCGTTTCGGCGATGCGCGAAGGATGAGAGTCGCGCCGGTCGGCGACGTGGATCAGCTTTCGCTCGCGGCCCCGCAGCTGTCGCTGATGGAGGTGCGCTTGTAGCGTGCGAGCGAGGCGCAATCGGCCGGCGAATGCGGGCGAGAACATCGAGAGGCAGACGAGCATGATCATGGAGAGAGCGAGCAACAGGGAATTGGGGTTTTTCGCCATCGCGGGAAACAGCATCAGTTGTCGGTAACAGCTACAAAAAGTAGTGCTGCCAGAAGTAGCACTTCATCCCAAATACATACAGTATATACATGGGGAGAGGGGAGAAGGGGAGGGGAGCCAAGTGTGTGGAGGAGGGAGTGGTGGAGCCCAAATTGCGCGTCGACTGTACACAGTACAGTGTAAACTGTACTGTACATAAACGCGTTGATTTGTTGCCCCATCAAACAGTCATCTCTGCCCCCAACATTTCACTCTTGAGAGGTTCACCCTTCATGCTTCGGAGAAATTCCTGGTGGTTTCTCGTGGGCCTGTTATAGGGCCTGAAAATATGACACCCTGGTTCCTTACATGTCAGTTTCAGTGTTCTCCGTTCCCAGTGCTTGCCTCCCTCGATCGCAATCTGCATCTCTCTTCCCCCATCCCCACCCCAACCACAGACATCCCTTTTTCCCTATGTCCTAGATGATGCTTGAAGTGATTGGTTGAATACTTCCTGTACGACTAGCATTTGCGGTTTTAGGATCTGCAATTTCGTTACTGTTAGGCTGTCGTACATGTAAAGGAGTCTAACTCAGGGCAGAGCGCAGACTGGCCACTAACCCTGGCTTCACATCACTAACCCTGTGACATGCAGGGTTAGTTTTTCGCCTGACCCCTTGATTCGTTCGGGTGATCCCCAGACGTAACGACAAGGTGCCCCATTTCGCTGTGCACATGACCCAGCCCATCTGGGTCGGTACGAAGCGTCGTTTTACCACCCGTACGGGGCTGGAAAGCCCGTGACCACAGACTAGAGGCCAAATGACACCCTAAAATAATGTCGGTGGTGCCCCTTATACTGTACAAGCTTGTCTTTGATTTTGCGCGAGTGAGCACGACTCTACTCCCGAGTCCCGCGTGGCAGTGTGGCTGCGTGATTGATGATATTTTTCTCTGGGTTGCGAAGAAGCCTATTACAATCGATTTGGCCTAAATTTCTTTTTTATGGTGATTAATGATTCGGTATCATGACCATTTTCACAAGCAGCATGTGTTTTCAGGATGAGCGGCCCTAAGCACCATTGTTTTTCATGGACCATGGGGCCATGGTACATTGTAATATAATTTTATTACCGGTACATAACATACAACACACACCCTTCTCCCCATGTTTCCCAATCCCCACACCACATGCCAGTACTAAACCAGTAACCCTGAAACGTTTAGACTGGCTAGCTCCACTTCAGAAACTCCGTGACACAGCCATGCTGTGTAACACTGTTTCAGCACAGCAACTGCAGTCCACAACCCCTTTCCCCTCCCCTCCCCCCACCTTTAGCTTCCCCTCACACCACATTCTTTAGTTTCCCCTCACCCCTCCTCCCCCTTTATTTAGCTTCCCCTCACCCCACATTCCCATGCCTCCGCTGATTCCCAACCTGCAATTCGACCCGTGTGCCCACAGGGAAGGGATCATCTCACAGGAATAGGTGCTTTCGTTACAGTAAACCATCATAAGCTCACCTCGACGTCACCCACTGCATCAGGGCGCCTAGCGAGCCTGTTACCACACCCCCGAAGTCTGAGCTGTTCGCGGCCAATTGGGATGAAGGGCCCTCGAAATCAGCTGCCTTCCCACCACCCAAGGGAGAGGTAGCGGAGCGCGTGCGACCCTGGCTCACTGCGTCCAACCTTGTGGGCCTGTCGAAGCCGAATGGTGACGTTCGCCCGGTGGCTATAGACGAGGTGCTCCCCCGCATACTATCTCGGGCCCTATGCATCGTGCTTCGGCCGAAGATGATGTCGCACTTTGCGCCGTGTAACCAGCTAGGAGTCGGATCCAGGTCGGGAGTGGAAGTCATCGCACATGCCTTTCGTTCTGCCATCTCTACTCACCCGTCATGGTGCGCGCTTCAAATTGATGTGGCGAATGCTTTCAACTCCTTCCATCGGCGGGAAATGTTTGAAG